CTATAAAACTGTAACACTTTCTCTTCCACATCCCATCCCTTCTGCTTTGCGCCTCCTATCTCTCTCTGTCTTTTAGTCTCTTTAAAACTCTCGCTCTTCTGCTCTCTCATTCTCTCTTACTTTCTTCTTCAAGATGTCTATGTCCGCAGAACCCCCATCTCTTGATGTATTGGCTATTGCAGCCTTCATCGATACTGAATCTGAATATGACCTCTCTAAATTCCCAGAAGCCGAGTTCGTGGAAAGCCATGAGATACAAGCCCGTGTTGACCCAAAAGTAGTAATTAGACCTATGGAGGGCTACAGAATTCTCTGAGGATTGAAAGACGGTATATATATAGCTTTACTATTATATGAACTAATTGTAGTGTGAAATGTCTAATAATAATAATATCATGGGTTTGGTGTTCCTCCAAATGTTGTCGGAATTGCTGATGAAACAGATTTTGACAACGAGGCTGATGAGGATGATTTTTCGAAGGTTGCTGCAATTGCCAGCGAACTAGAACATATGCTAAATAAAAAATCGAATGAACAAAAGGCTAGTTGTTGATGAGGGTTGTTGGTGGCGTAGCAGTGCTCAATTGAGAGAGAGATGAAGTTGTGATGGTGTGAAAGGGGACACGAAATAGTGAGCGGATAAAGTGGCTGTCAAATACAGTAGGCCAAGGGAAAATATTTTCCTTTTTTTTAATAAAAATTATATGAAAATCCACCAAAATTCATCAAAATCTACAAGCCAAATTCATTCAAATTCTTTAAAACTCATATGAATTTTGTAGGAGTCTTAAATCTTCCTAAATCCTATCAAATCCATCACTTTTAAAAATACTTCTAAATCATAGTTTGACTATACCCTTCTTAAGAACTTTCACTTACAAGTAAAGATGAATACAACTACGGTAACGATATATATGTATTCTTGAATGACTTTTTAACCAAAATGGTCCCTGAGATTTGCATAACTCCTCACTTTAGTCCCTAAGATTTCAAATCAATAGAAGTGGTCCCTGAGATTGTCCATCATCAATCATTTTGGTCATTCTGTTAAAAACTTTGTTAAGTGTCCCGGAGCTCTTGGTCGGAAGTTTGGGCAATTTTCAAAGCTTCGTAACTCAATCGTTTCTTAATCAAATTTAATCCATAATATATCAAAATGAAGATAGAAAAGTGTAGAATAAGATTATACCTATTTGGAAGCCCAATGGTTGCCGGAGATGGTCGGAAAATAGCCTCAAAGTTGACTGGTCCGAGTGAAAACTAGAAAACTCGCCAGAAACTGGGTAAACTTTAAACTTTCATAAATTCTTCAATACTCAACGAAATCAAGTGATTCAAAGATGAAAACCATACTTCTCAACGAGATGAAGAGAATGATACATTTTTCAATAGCTAACTCGTCATGGTTTGGCCGAAAAATAGCTCAAAAGTGGCTATCTTGGTCTCAAGTTAGCAGAATGACCAAAATGATGGATGATGGATAATCTCAGAGACCACTTCTATTGATTTGAAATCTCAGAGACTAAAGTGAGGAGTTATGCAAATCGCAGGGATCATTTTGGCTAAAAAGCCTTCTTGAATTAACTGGTTTAATATTAATGCCTTAGTTTTCATACTTTTACGTTTGATTTTTAAAATTTATGAGTTTTACAGCGAGACGAGTTATTATGTTCCGAAAAAGCAAGGTTTTAGTAAACTATCCCAAGTCCAGGTGTAGGTAGGGGTGGTTCGGTATGGGATCTCATATCGAAACTCTTGTCCCGATTCCCAAGCTGAAATTTTCAGGAATCCCAATTTCCATACCAATCCCAAACCAAATTTTCGAGAATCCCGAAATAGTTTTGGGATTTCGGGACAAATCGGGAATCCCGAAATGGTTTTAGGCTTTTGAACTAAAATTTGACATATATGCTATTGGGCTAAAATTCAACCTTTTATATCTATTCACACGAACAATTTCAATGCAAAGATTTCTACAAGGACTTGAAACTAGAAACACAAACAAAATATAACATTTGGATTTGGTTTACAAAACAGAAATATTTCCCAGAACCTCATTCAAGATTAAAGCTTCATCCCAAAACTCAATTCTAAAATGATTATCCCAACAATTTCGATATACAAATTTCGCACCAAAGTTGGAAATTAGCAATGGAATCATAACATTTAGTAAATAACAAGTTCATACATATAGAGTTGCAGCAGTGAAAAAAGTAATTAAAGAGGGAAAAAAATTAACCTTTCTCCTTGTATTTGCTGTAAAGCTCAGTCTATTGGGTATAATTCGTATCAGTAAACCCACAGAAGAACAAAAATACAAGAATTAATCAATTGAAATTAAACCAGAAAATAAAAACAAAAGAAAAAGAAAAGGAAAAAGGGAAGAAGAAGAAGAACCATTTGGAAGCAACATTGACAACGAGGACAACCTTCCCTTTGTAAACGCTGAGTGACAAAGTGACAGAGTAAGTAGTTAGTTTCTGTTCTTCAATGGATTTGATAAGATTCAACGGTTGAGATTAAATCTCACCGAATCCGACGGTTATTAAAATTCTAAATATATATTTAAAAATTAAATAATATATATATATATTTTTTATTCGGTTTGGGATTACCAAAATCCTGAAAACTTGATACCAATTCCCGTAACGAAATTTCTGGATCCGTTCGGTATTGGGTACCGAAATTTTCAGGATTTTCGGTTTGGGATTTTTTCGGTTCGGTTTCGGGAAATTTTGGTATTGTTTTCCAGCCCTAGGTGTAGGGGCAAAAGCCATACCAGTTTTGTCACTTTCTCATCCACCATAAAACACTCACCGGCTACCCCAACAGCTTCCTCTCTGTCTCTTCCCCTGATGTCAAACTGTACGGTGGACCGCTGCACAGTTAAGACTAGCGATGGAGTCAAGCTCAGCGCAAAGCTCTTCAAACCCAGAGAAGAAGAAGAGATCAAGAAGGGCAGCCCTGTGGTGGTTCTGGTGATACTCCGTCCTCGGCGGCTGCCAAGGCCTGTTGAGAGGAATAGCAGCTGGGTTGGCAGACAGAGGCTATAAAGCTTTGACCTTTGACATGAGAGGGGTTGGGAGGTCAACAGAAAGGGCCTCTCTCAGTGGGTTTGCAGAGATTAAGGATGTGATTACTGTGTGCAAATGGGTTTCTGAGAATCAATCAGCTGACAGGATTTTGTTGGTGGGTTCTTCTGCAGGTATAGTATTTTTGAATTTTTATGCTCTTTTAGAATATGTTTCTGCAATTTTTATTGGATTAAGCATGTTGGTTATAAATTAAAGGGGGTGTTTTTATGTTGGTAGTTGATCGATTTCTTGTTTAATCCGTTTAAGTGGATGATTTTTTGGATCTGTGGATTGTGTATTAGCTTGTGGTGGTTTAAAGATTGCTTCTTTGATTGGTTTGGTGAATGGTTTTGTTGATGTGTAATTTGGATATTAGTTTGCGAAGTTATCTGAGTGTTATGTAGATAACAACTAATTACTTTCTGAAGCGTCGTCGAAAAATTAAAGAAGGCTTTGGATTTGAGGGAGAATTGATGATATGAGGCTAGGATCTCATTGGTAATGTTAATTATCTCATATAAGTGTGATGAAGTTGGGATTTCATTTGGTAATGTTATTTGGAGTATTTCTGAATTTTGTGTTGCTGATCGAACTGTCCATCGATCATTCAAAAGTTTGGATTTTGATCACATTCAAAGTGAATATAAGTATGAAGAAAAATGTTAAGTGGAACTATGATAGGTTTCTCTAGCTCGACCGGAGATTGTAAATGTTGTAAAAGATGATAAATGATGAGAAACCTAAGTTTCTAGTAATTGTGAAGGACTTGAGCTATGATTTGATAAAATCTAGCATCGTTGTAATTTCGAACAGCCTCTCACTGCTGCTCCTTAACTTCTTGTTCTGAATTGCGATTTTTCTTCTCTTGTCAGATTGGAGTCAATGGTTTACTTAAGTCATGATCAAGGTAAATTAATGGAGCATTTGTTTATCTTTTTAGCTGGGTAAGCTGCTTTGTAATATGTTACAGTTACACTAATGCAGAATAGGAAAAACGGCAGTACGTGTTGAAAATTGTCTTACATTGATGGGAGGGGACTTTGCATGGGCTTATAAGTAAGTTGGACTACTCTCCATATTGCCAATTGGTTTTATGGAGGGACCTCAACTTCTTCGTGGTATCAGACCCGATTGTCCTAACTGTGAAGTCAAACGGTCACATGCACTCCACATCATTCTATTATGTTGTCCACGTGTTAAGCTTGAAAATTCATCACTCATGAGGGGCGCGTGAGAATAAGTTCCACATTGATAGAAAGAGAGACATGGTTTAACCTCAACTTCTTCAGTATCTCGAGACATCATCAAATTGTAAATCAAGACATTTGTTTGCCAAAAAAATTAATAGAAGAAACTGTTACGTTGGTTCAGCAACATGTTTCTTCCACAATGTGCCATGCTTAACAAGATAATTGCAATTTAAACTTTACTGTTTGATGAAAAAAATAAAAATCGTGAACCGTTCTCTTTTGCGTTTCTCCAGATATCCAGATTGTTTTCATATTTCCAACAGTGGCCAATTTGCAGGATTAAGGTGCCACTGCCACCCATTTCCTGAAACGCCTTTTCTTGCGAAAGTTGAAGCTCTACAATTTTCGGCTTCTGCTCTTGTTGGGATTCGTTCAACAACTTCCGGCTTTCAGCCCATGCAAACTAGAAGAAGAGAGAACCCAACTTACAGTTTTTTTTTTTTGGTACTTTCAGAAAAAAAATATGAACCCTTCTCAATGATTCTGCATATACACAGATTTTGAATTTTTGATGAGTAATCTCAATTCAATCAAGACCCTTTTTCTTAGTTTCAAATTTGTTCTTAACCAACATGATTGCACAACTTATGAAAATCAAGGAGATTTTGCCGAATAGTTTGATGTGTTATGTGACCTAAACATTTTTGTGGTGTTTTTTTTTTTTTTTTTTTTTTTTTTTGTTGAAAATAAAATTTTATTAATGAAAGGGAATATTACAATTTGTGATAGATGGGTAAGTCCAAACAAACACAAAACACTAGATAAACAAAGTAAGACATGGTAGAGTAGACAGACTTAAGCAAAATGAGAGCTACACTCGAAGACATAAAGGGGGGCCCACACATACGTAGGCATGTAGGCAAGAATAAAAAACAACAGGAAAATACCTTAATCTCAAGCAGCAAAAAGCAAGCCTCCACCTCCGCAGCATCATCCGGAAAGGAAGAGATTGCCCCAAACTGAAAAGAGCACCCGAACCAAAACTAGATTTGAGAGTGTTGCGCACAATCAATTCATCAAGACCAACAACATCCATAACCACACCTGAAATTAAGGTAAAAAAACATACAAGAGAAGGGGAGGGCAAAAGGGATGTGTAAAACAGCCTTGTTCCAACATGAATCGATCCACACTTCGCCCAACTTTTATGGTAAGTTGGTTCAGCAATGGGCTGTGAGCGTTGGGTCTTGTGTCAAGATAGAGTCCAATATTCCGAGATCTAATTGATGATTATGGGTTGGAAAAAATGAGAGGTAGCAAGGGAGAGGTAGGAAGAAGGGTGCGATGTGCGGATGGTTTTGCTTTGCTTTCTTTCTTAAAGAGAGAGAGAGAGAGAGCGCTGATTGAGGTGGTAATTAGAAGAAAAGTAAATATTTTTATGGTTAAACATGTGATTTATAACTTACTCTTTAATAGTTATTTTGCACCAGAGAATTTCTGGTTCAATTCGTACACAAAAATATTTATTCGTCTTCTGGGCAGGGAGCTTTAACTGGAACACTAAAGAGAGAGGTGGTTTGGAAGTTGTCAGGGACCATGAAAGATTCACCATTTCCTGTTTAGAATAAGGACAAAAATTAAACATCACAAACCAAATCGAAAAAGAAAACGCAAAAAGAGTCTTACCTTCTTTTAAGCCTTCTCCACATCAGATAAAGCTTGAATTGAACATTGTCCAGGAATTGGAAATATACATGTCTCCACGTCCTCTTGAGAAGCAAAGGGCAACAAAATCCCAAGAACCCTACAACGAAACCAAGCGCGACGGGTAACCCAACACATAGACTTTGATCCTCATCGTCGTCCAAATCCTGGTCGTTCTCATTCTCATCTGCATCATTGCCATTACTTGACAAGCACTGGTTTGGAAGTGGGGTGCCGCAAAGTTTTGGATTCCCTTCGAAAGCAGAGGCATCGAAACCTTGGAGCTGAGTGCCGGCTGGTATTCGTCCTTCAAGATTATTGTACGCAACAGTAAACGTAGACAAGAAATGGAGACTTGATAGTGATGATGGGATTTCACCTGACAGACGGTTGTTGTTGAGTTTTAATCTCTCCAACTCTGTGAGGTTGGATATTTGGTCTGGAATGTTGCCGGAGAAGTTGTTGATGCTTAGATCCAATTGTTGAAGATATCGCAATTGGCCAATCTCAAAGGGTATGCTGCCACTTAAACTGTTGTTCCTGAGGGAGATTACTCTTGGCATGTTGGCAACATATTTGTACTGTAAATTATTACCGGGTTTGAAGTAGACGGACAATTCAAGAGAACAATGGCCCGTTTGATTCGCAGGCTTTTGCAATACTAACGCTTGTAGTCCGCAAAGCTCCCTTGGAAATTCACCCGAAATCAAGTTGTCATTCAACAACAAAAAGAAAAGACTCGGAAGAGTCCCCAACCAACCAGGTATTGTGCCAGTGAGTCTGTTAGACGACAAATCTAGGACTTCCAGTTTCCTGAACTTTGAAATCCATGCAGGTATTTGACCTGTCATATGGCAGCTATATAAACTGAAAACACACAGATTTTGTAACCTGAAATCGACAGTTATATCTCCATCTGGCATTTCTTCACCTCGAAAATTTTCTGAAAGAAGGAGCACCCTGAGACTTTTGAAACGCATAAATATCTTCATTGCCCCGTGACATTGGCGAGTCTGTTATGAAAAAACGAGAGGAAGGTCAAGTTTTTCAATTGAAGAATCTCAGGTTGGATTTGTCCCTCGAAATCATTTGCACCCAGTCGAAGTGCTTTGAGGGACTTGCATGAGTAAATGCTTATTGGCAAGACACCAGTGAGTGCATTATTTATAAAATCTAGCTTACTAAGATGAGTAAGTTTAGAGAAATCGAGCCCAGAGATATTCCCACTAAAACGGTTGAATCCCAGATTTATTTCAACAAGGTTTGTGCAATTCATCAAAGATGGGGGCAGAGGACCTTCTAGATTGTTGTAATGAAGGTGCATGAGCTTTAATTTGGAGAACTTCCCAACATTCTCACCGATGGGTCCGAAAAGGCTATTAGTAGATAATGAAATTTCTTGAAGGGCCTGAGCATTGTAGATATCAGCAGGAAGGGACCCTGAGAGAGTGTTTTCGCGAGCACGAAAGACCTCCAATTCGGAACAGTTTCCTAGTCCTAGAGGAATTGAGCCACTGAAATTATTGTGGGAGAAATCCAAGACTTTAAGCGAAAAGGAAAGAAGACAGATAGAGGATGGTATTTGGCCTGTAAAATGATTATTGCTGACATTAAAACTGCTCAAATTCCAGGCATGCTGGAGGAATGAAGATGGAATTGTTCCGTTAAACTGATTGCTGGATAAATCCACCATTTGGATATTACTTGATGATAGAGATGATGGTAGTTTTCCGGATAAATGGTTTTCGCTCAAATCAAGGATCTGAAGGCGAGTCAAGGACAAAAAAAATTGAGCCTCAAGAGGACCGGAAAGCATATTGTGGGAGAGGTTGAGATGCGAAAGATGTGTGAGGTTTCCAAGAAAGCGAGACATGCAACCTTTGATACCTTTGGAGGGCAACAACAAATGAGTTACCCTACCAAACATATCGCAAGTGATGCCCTCCCATCGGCAACAATCGTTGGAAGACCAGTTTAAACTAGAAGTACCAATATCAAATGAAGAACGAAGAGAGTGTTGATCAATTTTTTGGCATGCGGGGGTTGTAGCAAAGAAACTTGAGATGAAAAATATGAAGAGGAGGCCATACGAAATTTGAAGTGCCATGTCTGTATATTTGATTGCTCACAAGTTTGTTATATATAACACACTGATTTGTTTAGAATTAAAGGGCTAGAATCAACATCGAAACATGAATCACGCTTTTTGGCAGATGCATGCATGTGAAGAATATTAAGCACATGAGTTGTACTATGTACTTGTATTATTGTATATGATTCATGTTGAGAGCTGATAGATCCACCCCATAATCCTATTTCTTCACTCACCTTATATTTTCATCCCGTATAAAGAAATTAAAAAATAAACACACTATTTTCTCACCCATTAATATTCCTAAAATGTCCTTGCATTAATTTAACTTTTTACTAAAAAATAAAATAAATAAAAACTGAGAATAAGAAAGCCACCCTCCCACCCGAGCCTGACACCACCAAACCCAACTCGACGACAACCTCTTTCACTGCCAGCCGACCTTTTCTCTCTATGGAAATTTGGAGGAGAAAACATTAACTAGCAACAACATCCTCGATGGAATTGTAATTGTTCACAGACCGACAATGACGATTTCAGTTGAATTGAGTTTGATTGAGATGGAGAAAGAAAAATGATTAGGGTTGCAGAAAAAAGAGGATGGCTGCAGTAAGAAGTCAATTTGGTTTGGGAGTGGCTCTGGCTTGTGGTTTTGGGGGTGGGGGGAAGGGGTTGCTGGGATATTCCCTTTTCATCTAATTTTCAGTTTTGTTTGCTTCCAATTTTAACATTGATTGGATGCATGGCTCGAGCTTGTAATATTCTTCTCGGATGGGATTGTTCATGGCTTCTCATATTCTTCTCCGATAGGATTGTTCATGGCTTCTCATATTCTTCTTCAGAAATAAAACATTGTTCTTTCACTTTTATTTTTATTTTTTTTAGCTAAAAAAACAAATTAGGGTTCATTTTTATTAGGGTTTTAAAAGTCATTTCACAAATGGTCAAATATGACATTAAATTTATTATTAAAAAGTGGGTGTGAAAAGAGAGTTGAGGGGTGGGTATAACACCACTCTTCATGTTGCCTAGCTTATTTGCCTACCGGCCGTTGCTAGTGAAAAACGATTTTAGCCTTTAAGTTCCCACACTAAATCTAATTAGTTCCGATGTGGTACTAGTCATCACATCCTCTTTGTCGGTCGTGTTGTAATGCTGAGTTCTTTCATGGTCAATCACTCTCCGCATTGCCAGTTGATTTTGGAATTGGAACCTCATATTTCTTCAGTCATGAGGAGCTACACGACTAAGGAGTAACATCATGTTGCTTGGGCTTCAGAATTGTCAACAATACCAAGTTTTCCACAGCCACTTTGGACTATGACTCAAAAGCACTTTCATAATTCACACTTGGAACAAAACGTGTTCTGATACATTCATCCCCAATTTAAATTATATTTTCACTAAGTTTGAGTATATCTTGCTTTTAAATTGGTTTTGGGGTCTTAAATGGTGTGCCCAAGAAACCCACCCCCTGTTTTGTCCTCCGGTTCCTTTCCCCTTTTCTTTCTTTTTTTGATTTTTATAACTCTCTCTTCTCTTTCTCTCCCTCTTCTTCTTCTCTCCCTTATCTTTCTCTCGTGCCCTCTCCCTCTACAACTCTTCATCCCCTCTCTGAAAATCACACCCAGATACCATCCCAGCCACCAAACACTAGACCTTGGACCTCGAAACCACAAGCAAAACTAGGAACTCCACCGTGACAGTCACGGTCTCCCTAGATGAAACCGACGGTTTTCGAGCCAACTTCCGGCCAAACTATGGTGATTTGGCCGGCGTGCAAGGTATCAATCTCTTTGTCTCGCTGAGTACTATAACTTTCCTTTTTGTTTCACCCAATTTCGTTAAGTATTGAAGAAGTTATACTCATTTGAATCTTACCCAGTTTCCGGCGACCGTCGAGTCTTTCGACGCAATTTCTTGCCAAACCACAGAGAGTTAGACGTCGTGCGAGGTACCATTCTCTTCGTCTCTTCGAGAATTACAACTTTTGTTCTTGTTTCACTTGATTTCGTTGAGTTTTGGCAAAGTTATGGCCGTTTAAAGGTTGTGCAGTTTCCATCCGATTTCTGGCTTTCTCTTCCATTGGGTCCAGCGACCCACCAAACCCAAGGCCCTTGGGCCTTCCCTGCCGAGCCCAACCCTTTTGGTTGTGAGGCCTTTGGGCCGTGAGTGTTGTGTGTGTGTGTTGCGTGAGTGTGTTGTGTGTGTATGTGCTGTGTGAGTGTGTGTTGTGTGTATGTGTGTATGTGTGTATACGTGTACCTACAACTTTTGTTCTTGTTTCACTTGATTTCGTTGAGTTTTGGCAAAGTTATGGCCATTTAAAGGTTGTGCAGTTTCCAACCGATTTCTGGCTTTCTCTTCCATTGGGTCCGGCGACCCACCAAACCCAAGGCCCTTGGGCCTTCCCTGCCGAGCCCAACCCTTTTGGTTGTGAGGCCTTTGGGCCGTGAGTGTTGTGTGTGTGTGATGCGTGAGTGTGTTGTGTGTGTATGTGCTGTGTGTATATGTGCTGTGTGTGTATGTGATGTGTGTGTGTGTGTTGTGTGAGTGTGTGTTGTGTGTATGTGTGTATACGTGTACCGTGTGGGTGTGTGTATGAGTGTGTGTGGTGCACGTGTGTGTTGTGTATTTGTGTGTGTGTGTGTGTGTGTGAGTGTGTGGTGCACGTGAGTGTGGTGTACGTGTGTGTGTGGGTTTGGGCCTAAGCCCAAACCACCCTTTTTCACCCTAACCCTTTTTAACCAAGAACCTTCAGACCCTAAACCCAAAACCCCTTCTTAGCGTAATTCGACGTCACCTCTTTATAGTATAGATGATAGATGACTTTATACTATGAAGTTGTTTTTCAATATATATATATATATATATATATATATATATATATATATGTTCAATGGTTTTGTACTTACCTAGTGGTCCTTTCTACTATGGGACGTACGGATAGATTCCGGTCCGTCCCGGGCGACGGTTTGGTGCTGGCATAGGGCTTGGAAGGTGTTTCCGCTGGCATTTAAGACGGGGGGCGGGGAGCCGGCAAGGGGCCTGAAGTCTATTTTCCTCTGACTGGCATGGGGTTAGGGGTTATCAGACAATTCACTAGTGATTATTATATATACAAGTTATGATTTGAGACATTGCACGACATGCTAGGTTTCGGAAAACCTATGTTTATCATTATATATATGTTTTCATAAAACCTAGGGGTTAGTACGTTGATAACTGTTTTATTATATGTATATCAAATTAGTCCATTCATGTTTGTTTTGCGCCCCCTTCAGGACTTAGAATCGAGGCATACAATCCCAACATCCAGGCACTTCTGCATCGGCATCTTCGAGTCCTCTCGGTGTAGGACCCACTCCTTATTATTTCCTTTAGTGTTCTAGTTAGTTGTATGCTCTGAACACGTTCCTGAAATGCATATTCATTAGTCTTTTATACTTATAAGTCTTATTTACTCCTTATTCTCAGCAATTGCATTAAATAAATGACTTTCGTCACCCTTAGGTGTCGGTCAGCACGTGCTTATCCTAGTATTTGGGGAATATCGGGATCGGAACGTGTCATGTTCTGCACTGATTTTTACAATTTTAAATGAAACAAATTAATTAATTGAATTAAATTATTGCTTTGTCCATTTGCCTAAAATTTAAGTCCTCTTTAGCTTGTCAATTAAACAAGAAATTAAGCCCTCGAACAAGAAAATAGAAAAGAAGAAATAATTGTGGTGGGCCACATTTAGGACAAGTTCCCAAACTTCTTTGTGAGCATGTTGAGAGTTTTGTGATGGTTGGATTTCAAAAAATTGAGGGTGGATTATTTATATTAATCATTTGTATTAATAATGATTAATATCGTGATTTCATATAGGAGAGACTTATTTTGAGGCTAGACACGGCAAGATAATTACGATTCAAGAACGTATTAGTGAGTGGGTTTTTAGGTTCAACCTATACACGAGATATATGATTTTCGAATGGGTTTTTATGAAATATCATGTTATCATGACAATGTTTTACTCAACGAATGCAAATATTTTAGGGGCATTTAGATTTTAGGGCTTCAATAAGATTGTTTTTATATTTTAATCTAAATAGTTTTCAAAATCTAATATAAGTCCCTATTTTTAAAACTTACCATATTTAAGTAGTTATAGCACATTTATTATTTAACTTACCATTTGAAATTCTTTACCCATCCATAATTAATGTTTTTATTTATTTATTTTGTGGTCTAATCATATTAATAGATAAAAATTTATTCAAAATTCAAATTCTTATTATTAAAAAAAAATCAACAACAAAACAAAAACAATTATACATAACCTTCAGTACCTTATTTTATTCATAGGTACGAAAGTATCGGTATGAATGTATCGGTACATAACTTTAGGTATCTTATTTTACTCATAGATACAGAAGTATCGGTTTGTAAGTTTCGGTACGAATGTATCGGGACAAATATGTCGGTTCAAATGTATCTGTGAACACGGAAAATTCCTGAAACGAAAGAGACAAGAACAACGTGCACAAACAAATATTAAGTATTTGATGATTTTGGGTTACAATCTCTCTCTATTTTGATCCTCTGATTCGATCTCCGTAAGGTATTGATTTGTGGATGTTTCCTTGATCCAAGGGCCGTCGAGGCTTGATCTTGGATGAACTATTGGAAGTTTCTTCAAGGGGCCGTGGGCTTGATCTTTGAAGGTGGATTTGAGCGGATCTTCAAAGGGGCTTTTGGGCTTGATCTTTGAAGAACAGTGACGAACGGATCTCCAAGGGCTTTTGGGCTTGATCTTGAAGAACAGTGATGAACGGATCTTCAAGGGCTTTTGGGCTTGATCTTGAAGAACGGTTGGATGTGTGGATTTGTCGACGTTGTTGATCCAAAGGGCCGTTGGGGCTTGATCTTGGATGAACGGATGATGAACGATGGTGCTTTCTTTCAAGGGCCGTCGGGGCTTGATCTTGAATTGGTAGATGATTGTTGATCCAAGGGGCCGTTGGGGCTTGATCTTGGAAGAACGATGAACGAAGAACGAGGAACACTTTCTTCAAGGGCCGTCGGGGCTTGATCTTGAATTGGTGGATGATTGTTGATCCAAAGGGCCGTTGGGGCTTGATCTTGGAAGAACGATGAACGAAGAACACTTTCTTCAAGGGCCGTCGGGGCTTGATCTTGGAAGAACGATGAACGAAGAACGAAGAAGGCTTTCTTGATTCTTCGGGAACCTGGATGCTTGAGAGCTTCGGAGTTTCAGAGCTTCAGAGCTTCAAGGTGTAATATGAATTCCCCCTCAAAATGAATGAAATGGGCTTGTATTTATAGAATTTTCCAATGCCTAATTTTGAATATAATATCCCAGATGAAATAAGTCGTTTCTGCCAGGTGTTGACACGTGTCCTATTTGATGACTTTTCCAACTCATTTCAATTTTCGTTGAGTCACACGCTACGTGTAAAATTTATGTAATACATGAGCGTTGACACTTTGATTTATCAGTCAACATTTATTTACAAAATTTCGATGTCTACAAATGCCCCCACTTCAAGGCACGTCGTATACATGTGCTTGTCACGTGTAGGAGATGCGTTTTGAAGTCCCTTACTGTAGATGTCGATCCAAGGGCCGTCGAGGCTTGATCTTGAATTGGGCTGGAGATTTCTTCAAGGGCCGTTGAGGCTTGATCTTGAATTGGGCTTGAGATTTCTGGATTCCTCCAATTGTTGATTTTCCACAGCTTATTCTTGAACTAGGTTTTGATTCAAGGGTGGTAGACACTTAATCTTGAATCGGACTTGTGATTTCTTCCAGGGCCGTCGAGGCTTGATCTTTGAAGGTTTGGCTGGAAGCTTCTTCAAGGGCCGTTGAGGCTTGATTCTTGAAGGCTGACTCGAACACATGGCAAGCAGGCCCGAGGTGAAGGTGACGACTTGTTGCTTTGTTCAATCTTTCTAATTCACACCTGAGCAGTTTGGTCAACGGTATGATCTTCGAGATTGATGGGCTCCTCTTCCAATTGGTGACTTGGTCTTTAAGGATTTGATT